CGACGTGACACATGTATGGGCTGGAGTAGCTAGGGAGATGGGGGATACCTCCCAAGGCCTCGTCGAGGTCCCACTCGCAAATACGTTCGTTCCCCGTCAAGTAGGGAAGATCCGGAGGTTCCGCCCAGGGTCGTGCAGACAAACAAGAGTGCTCCCAATATTCCCGAAATTCCTGATCCCTCAAACACTCGCGATCAGTGACACGAAAGGGGACGCTGAAATTCATGCTGCAAGTCGGGGTGGACAGCCAGCCATTCGAGAAATTGGTCGAGTTCATGTTTCGCAGACGCGCGTGTAGGCAATGATCGTCTTTGGTCGAGCCTACACGTGTGTGCGCGGGACCTTTCCTTCAATCAGCTGGGTGAAAGTCAACGGTTCACGAGATGTATTGTTGTATAGTTAGATGGTCATCTAATCGTCTAGCATGCTTACTTTATTCATACACAAACAGAATCACACCTAACATTCATGCATCTAACTTACATACAAACTCAAGGAACAAAGGATCCTTGTGCAACAATTCTTTGGCCAATCAGCTCAGAGATCACACAAGGCTCGATCGCCGATAACCAATCAATTAAATTTGCCAATTCAAAAAGACAGAGAAGGCGAGTGGGGGGTGGCGGATGACAATCCACACATCAGTCTCTGAGAAAAGAAAACAAGGAAAAAGAAAAGTCTGAGATGCGGATCCAAAAAGGACAAGGGCGAGTAGCGCCGAATACCAAAATTGCTTACAAGGATGAAAGAGAAACATCACCACAACGCATCCCGCCTCTCTCTCTCTCTCTCTCTCTCTCTCTCTCTCTCTCTCTCTCTCTCTCTCTCTCTCTCTCNTCTCTCTCTCTCTCTCTCTCTCTCTCTCTCTCTCTCTCTCTCTCTCTCTCTCTCTCTCTCTCTCTCTCTCTCTCTCTCTCTCTCTCTCTATTTTCACAACATCCCGATGCGGGCAATCCGCCTCCTCGCACCCACACAGAGTTGTCACCCCGCTTAGTCCGAGCATGCAAGCCAGATTCGCCCGTGCGCCACAATTCGTCGTGGCCCCATGTTAAACCCGCATGCCCAGCACCAGCTCGTCGGATCGCCCAACTCTCTACTCACCTGCCAACTCTCACTGGTTAACCGATCCTCTCGACCGCGCTAACTCCCAGAATTCTTAGAGAGCGAGGTAATCGAACGTGAGAGATTTATAGCATGCATGCGCGTGCGAGATACTCGGGGTTGTGCCTTAATGGAAAAGGAGGAGGAAGGAAGTGCCTACGTTTGCATGGCCGGGCTGCGGCGTGGGGGACGTAGCGTCTCTCCACACATCGATCCGGTCATGCAAACGTTCAAGCCAAAATAACAGAGGAAGAAGTGCACGCGCACAGGGATGCCACAAAAGATATCAAGAATGAGAGGATTACAGTTGCAATTATGCCCACCAAAACAAAAGTTACAGCTACACGCAAGGATTAAAACGCGGAAAAGTCAGAACACAGATCCTGACGCGACAAAGAGTGCGCAAGCAAGAAGCGCCGTGCAGCAAAAATTAAGATGCGCCTAAATTCCTAATCTAAATCCTAATTGCAAAAAAGAAATTTTGAGCGAAGCAAATTCCGAGAGCCCACGGGGGCTCGACATCAGTTGAAAATTCAAAAATATTTTCCCGCGCTACGATCGCGCCAAAATTCCCATTTCCCACAGCAGAACAAGAAACAAGCTATGGCAACAGTTAACTTTCGCGCTCGCTAAGGCGCGATCAGCTACCAACCATCACAAGATTACCCCGGCCTCGATTTCAAAAAACAACAAAAGCAAGGGCACCCATGTAATCCCGCGGGCCCTCCCGATTCAATCCCCGAAGTAGCCTTGCGCAGAAAATCGCACGGTTGCAGAAAACAGTTCGTCACAGCCCCAGGTATGTTAGTCCAATTACATCTTGATTCGAACTTGGGTCTGTACTTCAACAGTTTATGGGCACACCAACTCACACTGGTACAGCCGCAAACTGTTGAGATACAGACCGAGGTTCGACTCCAGATGCAATCGGGGAACTTACCTAGGGCCGTCCACAAGCTCGAAGAGCTCGGACTTGGCCATAGAGATGTGCTTATTGAGCTGCTGGATGGCCCCAGGTATGTTCGTCCAATTGCATCTGGAGCCGAACTTGGGTCTGTACTTCAACAGTTTTTGGGCACACCAACTGACACGGAGCTACAAAAGAGAAAAAGCAAAAGCAAAAAGCAAAAAAAAAGTTACTCAAAAGTTTACGGGCACACCAACTGACAGGAGCACCACCATGGCGCCCTGGGCAGTCAATCCCCTGGCACGAGGGCAATCAATGCTGTCCTCTGATGATTATGACTAAATTTTGGCTTCTGCTTTGTAAAATGGGACGCTGGACCCGGTTTCCGGCTGGTGCCGCTCCCCACCAATAGATTGGAGCCATCTTTTACAGGGGTCCTATTAGTAGGGGATGCATTTATCACCTCCACTAATAGGCCTCATTTGGATGTTTCAAACAAACAAACAAAAAAAAAAAGAAAAAAAAAAAGGCTACAGAAAAGAAAGAAAGCAAAAGCAAAAACAAGCTATTGCAACTCCTCTAAGGTCATACCCACTCCGGCACTTTCCTTAATGTATGCACACTGGGACATTTTTTACTGACGGCGTTCCTTCCAATGGCTTACATCATTTGAAGTGACCCACTAGAAATGAGCCACGCAGCCCCCTCTGGCAGAAATCAGGGCCCACCCCCCAAATCGCTTTCAGGAGGTGACCCTTGTTTCTGCAAGCCCGATGTACCTGGCTGATTTCGATCGGGTCACTTTAAATGATGTAAGGGACGCTGGGCCCAGTTGCCATCAATATGATACTACAAAGCTAAGACAGGATGCTTCTGGTCCTCCAAATTGGCTTGGGAAAAAAAAAAAAAAAAAAAAAGGGAGTAAGAAATGCGCCAATGTGTGTTTCTTTTTTATCTCTTTGTTATTGTTCGACTTTCCAGTGTTTGGAGCACGGCAGGGTTTATGGGAATCAACCTGTATCTGGCCCTCAAACTCAACCAGATACACGGGCGGGCTTGCTCGAAAGAATGCCAAACGTGTCAGAGGAGTGAAAACAACGGGCCTCTTTTCTGTTCCATCTCCAGGATTAACCGCCTGAATCTGGACGTGTTTTACACAGAGATGCAGAACAGCATATCTATTATGAGATCTTGCATTTTTCCGCAAATGCGTCCAGATTCAGACCTTCCATCCTCTCCTGTTTCCTAGTGGGACCTTGCACCAGGTAACAGGTCCAGCGCCCAATCCCCGATAGGCCGGAACCAATACCCCACCCTCCATTCCGAAGTGATGGTACCAGTCACTTTCAGGCTTGGCAAAATCGTAAATTTAGGCTCGTACTGCATTTGGGATTTCAGTTAGGATTTCACTGCGTGTACAATTGGCTTAAACCACGATGGGGCGAATGAATACAGACCTGCAAGGTAGGTAGGCTGAATACAGATTCATCCGGCAGAACGCGATAGGTACTGGCGGCTTAATGAATTGAATATATAAACAACTTGGACCCCTGTGTCGAGTGTACAGCCAGCGGAGTGACAAATCAAGCAGCCAGGCAAAGGGGAGGCAACAAGCCATGGGACTGCAAGCAACAACATAGCACATAAGAATGGGACTGCAAGCAACGACATAGCACATGAGAAGAGAGGGGGTGAGGGAGGCAAGCCGGGCGACAAGGGGCAAGGCGCGGGGCAGGGCAGCAGGATGAGCATCAAGCAGTGAGGCACCAAGGCAACCACGCAGGGAGGCAGCAGCGCAACAAGGTAGTCAGCCTACGTCAGGCAGAGAGGGAACAAAACAGGGAGGCAGCGAGGCATAAGGCAGTGCTGATATGGCAGGCAAACTACAAGACAAACATAAGGGAAGCACAGAAGACAAGGGAAAAGGATGGGCGGCCAGGCAGCCGAGGCAAGCCCATGGGCATTCCACAAATCCCACGAGGACCAAAGCAGATGATCACCCACTCACACCACAAGTAGAAACCTTCAGACTGTAGGTTCACAGCACCATTGGAGCCAGGAATTCAGTTATATGAACGTCTTTCATCACCCATGGAAGACACAGACATAGGCATCCCGAACAATGCAGCCCCCCTGTAGGCACTATAAACACACAAGCACTGAATACTTGAAACATCTTAAACGACACGGAGGCTTTTTGCTTTTTTTTGTGTGTGTATTTCGGAGCCTCTCCTTCCCAATGCTTGATTTCTGCTGTGCGCGTATGAAACACAAACGGGCACGGAGGCTTTTTTCTTTTTTTTGTGTGTGGCATAGCCAATCATTTCTATCTCGCAGGCGTTGAGGACAGACGGACATGAGCACTAAAACAGAAATCAGTAAATCTGTATAAATGCGTAAATATGAATATAAACACACACACACACACACACACACACACACACACACACACACACACACACACACACA